TTGCAAAGGGGCACCCTGTGCTAGGTGCGCAGCGCCCGGGGCGTTGCAAAGGGGCACACAGTACCAGGTGCCTGGGGCTCAGGGCATTGCAAAGGGGCACCCTGTGCTAGGTGCGCAGCGTCCAGGGTGTTGCAAAGGGGCACACAGTACTGGGTGCATGGGGCCCGGGGGCGTTGCAAAGGGGCACCCTGTGCTGGGTGCGCAGCGCCCGGGGCGTTGCAAAGGGGCACCCTGTGCTGGGTGCGCAGCGCCCGGGGCGTTGCAAAGGGGCACCCTGTGCTGGGTGCGCAGCGCCCGGGGCGTTGCAAAGGGGCACCCTGTGCTGGGTGCGCAGCGCCCGGGGCGTTGCAAAGGGGCACCCTGTGCTGGGTGCGCAGCGCCCGGGGCGTTGCAAAGGGGCACCCTGTGCTGGGTGCGCAGCGCCCGGGGCGTTGCAAAGGGGCACACAGTACTGGGTGCATGGGGCCCAGGGGCATTGCAAAGGGACACCCTGTGCTGGGTGCCTGGGGCCCAGGCCGTTGCAAAGGGGCACACAGTACTGGGTGCATTGGCCCCACGGCATTGCCAAGGGGCACCCTGTGCTCGGTGCGCAGGGCTCGGGGCATTGCAAAGGGGCACACAGTACTGGGTGCATGGTTCCCATGGCATTGCAAAGGGGCACCCTACGCTGCTGCATGGTGCATTGCAAAGGGGGACCCAGCACAGGGTGCACTGACCCCGTGCCATTGTGCAGGATCCCCTTTGGTCGAATCGGGTGAGCCTGCTGTTGCTGGCCCTGTTTGGTGCAGCGGCGTGCTGAGCCCTTGCTGGAGTGACTTTCCGTGCTGCCCCTGGGTCCTCAGCTGAAGTTGCTGGGGTGGGTCCGAGCCCTGGTACCTCTGCAGCAAAGGACGAGCACGTGGCCACCCAGGGTCTGCTTTCCTCTCTGTAAGGGTGTGTAATACCATGTATACCCCTTCACTTTTCTCCAGTTCCCAAATTACCACCCGTCCAGAGGCAGGGAGGGGAATGGTCCTGTGCGATGTCCCTCCGTGACCCTCACCGTGCCGGTTGCACTCGTGCATCTATACAGCAGGCTGCAGGAAAACGGAGCGTGGCCGAGCAGCACCTCCTCTCGCCCCGCTCACCACCTCCACGGCCTGACCCGGAGCGGTTCCTGTGCCTGGCAAGCACACTAAGAAATATGTTTCGAAGAGAACTGTGGGGTTTATTCTTTTGCTGATAATGCTAAATTTACACTCTCAATCTTCTTATCTCCTGTGAATGCAGCGCCATCTAATCTCCTGCTAAGGACCCGATACACTTATTTGTTACGCAGCTACTTGAGGCGCTGCTGCCTTTCCGCTCGGCCTTTCTGGACACAAACAAAAGCCCACTGTTTTACTTCCGTCAGGCAGAAGGCATGCTGCAGTTCCCATTCCCAGAAGATTTAGACCAAACACAAAGACAAGAAAGAAAAAAAAAAAAGAAATGAATGCAATATTAAAATGCCTTCTATTAAAATTGCCCTGACATTGCTGCTTAGTTTACGCCTCCCGCTAGCACAGAGGAGAGGAGACAGCCCAGACCCCACCTTGTGGAAGCTGGAGAGCGAAATGCAGAATTGTTCAGTGGAACCACACTGATTTTTTTTTGGCACGAATGAGGTGTCTTGATCTTCTCTGAAAAATTACCCGTTCTGCCATCATCAAACACGGAGCAAAACAGAAGAACCCAGCCAGTGGCGCAGTTACGTTGCCGAGATAACGCCAGAAGAACGGAGGACTGCAGGCCTCCAAGAGTCACCAACTTTGACCCTTTGGGGAGCACTCGCTGCGAGTCCCCGAGACCTCGGCTGGCAAGGAGCTTCCCAAATACGTCTTGAAGGCAGCAGAGGGGACCGGAGAAGGTGAAGCCCCGGCGAGGGCAGCAAGCGGCTCGTTCCTCTCCCTGTTCTTGGACGAAAATCCCTGCGCCTCCCGACAGAGGTGTCTGCTCGTCCTTCCTGGCCAGTTGCCCCGTGCCTCTCCCATCTGGTGTAAAACAGGGCCGGGCAATTCTCCCTTTACTCACCCGCTCCGGACTGGGACAGCTTTGGGTAGATTTGGTTTTGACGGGAGAGCTGTTGCGGGCGGTGTGGAGGGCGCAGGGCTGGGTGGTGTGACTGCCGGCACAGCGCCGTGATGGTGCTGGACGGGGCACGGTGGTTTATTCCCTGCAGCCTGGGCACCGTGGGCCCGGCACAAGGAATAAAACGAGACTCACAGAGAACGGCCCGTGTCTGCTTCACCCCTCCTGGCACCCCGTTTGCAAGCACTTTTCCAGCACAATCAGCCCGGGACTCTCAGGCATTACCTCACCAGTATTAGCATTTTTATGCTGAAAAAGATATTTTTTGCTGGCTGCTCCCATTGCCCGAGTACGAGAAGAGAATCTGGTTCCTCCCTCTTGCCCGCATCAAGCTGGGCCAGATGTATTTCCTTGCCCTCCCTGCCTTTACACGAGGGCCGCAGGCACCCACGTCGCCTGCCCTTCCGATCTGCTTGCCCAGGGCTCGGGGAGGCCAGGGAAGACAGAGCTGCTCCTGGCAGCAGAGCAGGGCCGCGAGCTGCCGGTCATTGCCATGACGGTTCCAGGACGTAGGTGGGACAGGGCAGGTAGATCAGGTGTTCGTAGCAGCAGATGAGCCCCATCGAGAAGTATCGTCTGCAGACGGTGCCTGTGGGTAGATTAACACAGCAGCGTTTGTCTCCCGCACGGTTCACTCCCAAAGTCTTAGGAGAGGGGTTG